GTGTGTGTGTGTGTGTGTGTGCATGTATATATATAAGTTTACTTTTTTATTATCATAAATTCTAATTTTAAGGCCAACATTTAATACGATTCTAGCTAGGAATAATCATGGTTATATTTCATGTGTTCATATTTATATAGTCTTAGTTTTTAAAATCAATGTCCCCGATTAGTTTGTTAAAGCTAGGTATAATACTTCCGACATTTCATTAAAGTTAATTGATTGATTGATTGCGGTATTGAGTGCGACTCTTCTCGCTGATTGGTAGAAATGATATGTGTATTTAGGCTCTTTAATATTGTAAGCGAAGGGAGGCAACCGGAGGACAAAAGTGTCGCATCAGTTTGGGCTTTGCGACCGAATGAAATAGAAACTACTGTCGAATATTGCGAAAATGGCAACACAAGGTCAAGATAGAGAGGTAAAATATAGATCTTATTGGTATTAATAACAAGCTTTTGGCAAGAAAGACACAGAGGAATAGTTTATGCTAGACGTAAAGTAAAGTAAGTCGTATCTACTGAAAGACTGAGGAGACTAAAGGCGGAAAGTAAACGACGAAAAAAAAGTACGGCTTTTGCCAAGACTAACATCAAGGACATATAGGAAAATCGCAATTTACATCAATACTAACGGAATTAAAGTTTGCAAGAAAGTAAGTGTCTTTCGCTAAAAAGAAAACGAACTGTACTGTGCTGAACAGAACTAAAGTGAACTGAATCGTAATTAAAGCGACGAAGAATCTTGTGGCTTCTTGGAAAACTATACGTTTTAACTTGAAATGAATTCCTCGTCCAGTAAAACAGAATTGGCATTTGAGAATTTCATGCAAATTGTTATTTTAGTTAACTGGATCGTCTGGGCTGTTATTGTCCTTAGCACGATCGTTGTCGACGTAATTCTGTTGCTGGTAATCAAGGCAGATCCGTATCGGTCCTTCAATAAGCCAGCAGTCKTTTTAGAAATTTGTTTTCTATGCAACAGCCTGTTTGGCAGTGTGGTTTTGGTGCCAGGGTACACCTTGTTCGATATTTATGAAGATTCCCTTAGTCATCAAGATGGAATTATTTTCAAGTTCATACTTTTATTTCTAACCCGGATGTTCATAGGCAACGGGAACTTCACTTTCATTCTGACGGGAATGGAAGCAACATTAGGCCTAGCTAAGCCTCACTTGGTACGCCGCCTCGCAACAAGGAAAAACATCAAAAGACTACTAGTGTCCTTTAACTTGATATCTCTTATCTATTGYTTGCTGCCTTTAACTGGGGCTGGTTCTTTCAAGATGTACAGGATAATTTACATTCATGTATTTGTTCTGATTCCACTCATTGTCTTCACRAGTGTTGCTGGATACGTTTATTACAGGCTTAGGCACCCAGTCACAGTTGGACATGAGAATAAAAGTGAAGAAAATACATCGAGAAGAGAACAACAACAACACATATCAAAACGAAACAAACAGATTGCAAGAAACTATATAACATCTGCTTTATTTTATATTTGTCCATTTATGATATTCTGCTTATGTTATTACTTTTCTCAGATTTTGAATTTTGATTATTTTGYATCTGGTTGTGAAAGGAACAGGTGGTGTCATGTTGGAGAGAGATTAGTCATTATCCTTGTTTTTCTTTTTCCAGTTTTAAATACAATTGTACTTATATTCATAATTCCGACCTACAAGAGGTCTTTGACCCACTATGTTTGCTGTAGGAGACGAAGAGTCTCCAATCAATGACAGCCAGTGTCTGCCAGTAAGTATCATTGTGAGCAACAGAATAAATTGGCAGGAAAGTGTGCCAATTATGGCAAACGCTTGTTTGTCCTTTCAAATACGGCTAATAAGTTTTGGCCATATGATCTGATTATGCATATTGAATATCAAAGAATACAGCTTTTGCGCCGTGCCCTGTAGGGAGTTGAAWTTTTTTGTTTGTTTTTGTTTTGTTTTGACTAGCAGAGTTTAGAACTACACTTTTTCCCAATTTCCGCGATAGAAATCGTATAATAATTTTGTTGTTTGATGCCATCCTATCTTTTATTTTCTAGATTTTTCAAAGAAAAGCGGCATTACTTTACAATCTAGATTTAATGATGGCGATATTATATCATTAGATTTCAACCGACCTTCGATAAGTTGTAGTATGTAGTGGCTGTAATAAAGGGGCTGTGATAGCCGACTTGAGACATTAAATATTATCGTCCCATTTCCCGATACAGCATRAAGAAGCAGACCAACAATGTGATTAAGCTATAGCAAATCGAACAAAACCTTAGAATCGGAATTCATCAAAAAGGAAAAATATAGGTAATTTTAGGGTAACGATGAATGTTTTTTATAATATAAAGCCGGGTCTAGACGCCTAGCATTTTGATGACAAACGTAAACGTGAATAAGGGCTTTCAATTTAATCCCAGTAGATTGTAAGATTCTCGTASTAACTAGCCATAAACATATTTATTACAGTTCTACCTTCTCGAATAAATATCGTTTAATTTGCTGAGTTGAATGAATTACAGCAAAGCMAATGCTTGGCAGCTTGTCGCAGTTCAGTCATTCTCCACAGATAGATAATTGGGTTAAGAGTAGAATTCGATACCACTAAAAAATAACTCAAGTAAATCTTCAAAAGATCCATAACGCCAAAGGATGGCGACATGAAAAGTTCCATGATACTAAACACCGTGAATGGTAAATACGAACCTAGAATTGCTGCCAGAATCATCATCATCGTGATAAGAGATCGTTTGTACTTGAACACGTTGATATCGGGTGTTCGAATTGAGATTGAATCATTAGCATTAGTAGCAGATACTTGAAGTGTTTGACGCTTCAGGATACGGAAAGATTTAACGGTTAATATGAGTATGATTGCCAAGCATAAAGCAGCAGTCGCTGCGGAGACGATCATCAAAAGTTGGTAAAATACCTCAAATAAGAGAATAATTGCACAAGTAACAGAMGTCCAACAAAATAGCAAGAAAATGGTGATTCTTTTCATTGTGACTAGTGTACGATAAGCTGTTTTGGTCTTAATAGCCAGGTATCTGTCACTACTAATGGCTGTCAGAGTTGCTAAAGAAATCCCACCAAGAGAATATCCGATCCTGAAAGATGTTCCTAAGGATATACACAAGACATTTGGCCAATGAACGATGGCTGCCACCGAGAACATCACGATGAAAGTCTGCACAAAGGCACCCACACAGAAATCAGTCAATGCAAGACTACACAGAAGAAGCCGTGATGGTGTATGTAGTGGAGGTGTTTTCCATATAGTTATAATAACCAAAGCGTTAAGAAACATTGCACACAAGGAAGTCAACAAGTTCATCACGGCGAGATATGGAGCAAAATCTTTATAACTGTTATTGRAATTCTTAAAGTGATGTTTGCAATAATCAGAAGCCATTCTCTTCATACGGATCAGTCGAGATGCATTTGGCCAGTCTGTTCGTTTTTAGCGACTAAAGCGAAAGCCTCGCTGCAGTAGGGTGAAGCAAAATATCCGGCTAAGAAAACAGCGGGCAAGCCTAGCCCTAGTCTCCCCCACAGCCGCTTTCAGTGTATGCAAAAATATTTTTTACATTTTTTAACTTTCAGGTKACCTCAAAATTACAAATGCAAAATGATTATATAAACATCTATTTGGTTCTTGAATTCAAAGAGTTTCAAACAAAATACCCCGAATTTATTWTGTAAATACAACTACTTCATAAAATATTGAATTATATATACTGCATACTGAATAGTGTACTCATGTCATTGTGGCAGACATAGTAGTAACTATGTGGCAGATAATATGAACAGTTTGTTGARAAGTGTGGTCGTCCGGGTGAGTGTAGTCTTGAGAAAGACTGTTGTTAGTGGTTACTGACGTTTCGACAACCTGAGCGAAAGTCATYTCCAGAGTCGAGTGAGAAAACAATATATACCTCTGATTCAGTCGTAATGTAAACGRTATTTAGTGGGTCCAGGTGATCGCGGAAAGCGCGCAATGCATGATTTTCTGACTCGAAAAAGAATCAATCCCTAACATGACCGCGCTCCTAGAGTCCTCGACGAAACATTGCCGTGAAGGACGCCATTTTGTTTTGAGTTAGATCTGAATACGTATTCTCTTGAAATGTAGAAAAATGCCGAAATACTGGTGAAAAGAAGTCGTAGCTGCACATTTGAAGTCTATAGTAGTGATTCAAGTTCTGTACAAGAAAAAATTTACAAGAAAAGCTTACTTTAAGTAAATGTTTATCCATTTTTTGTAATTCGTAAAGCCAACAAAGTTAACCTTACAAAGCTTTTTTGTTTCGAGAAAATGATTGAATACTTGATAATATGCTCAAATTTCTATTTAGTAGTAACATGTACYGAAGTGATGACGTCACAAAATATTATTTTCACGCTATCATAATTTCAATCCTCGATTTCGMTAGGAAATCAAGAAAGACGCTAACACGCCARATTTCAGGAGAATTGGTTGAATAGCAAGAGAGAYACAGCTGTTTGAATATATAATTACCCCAAACAAATCTCTGTCTTTTTGCCCTAGTTCATTACGTAATAAAATACAGTGATTTGTATAGGAAAATTATACATTCAAGCGGCCATATTTCCGTCGCTTTTTTACCGATATTCTTAAAATTTGGCTTGTTAACGTCTTTTTGATGTTCTGTCGAAAAGGAGTATCGAAAATTGTCAAAAGCAAAATTTTGTTTTTCGTGACGTCACACTTCGGTACTCTATTGATTTCCGTCACATCACCTGGGTACTGTTATGTAAAGGTGCGTGGGTGTTATCACAAGTCACAGTCTTATGTTTGACGTCGTCGTGAATGAATCTTTTGTTAGATGCAGGTAATTGTTGACATGGGCTAATCGGTTTTTGTTYTAATGTATACCAGCTTTCAAGTGTAAGGCATTGATGCTGGTTGGTGTTATATGTAATACATGTAGCAGAGTCGCAGCCTATGTCATGTCTTGTGATATTCAGCGATGTGATTGCTTGTTTATTAATGGCGCGTTTGTGTTCAGTGAATCTGTCGTTTAAGGTCCTACCAGTCTGTCCGATGTAAATGGAGTCGCAGTCAGTGCAAGCTATTTTGTAAATAACGAGCTTTAGATGAGCCGAGTTCCTTGACAACCATGGTTGTGGCTGGGTTCGGTTCATGGAGGGCTCAACATCTGCAAAGGGCCTGCACAAGCCATTGATAAACAGGTTGGATGGGTGGGTACGAGTATATGAATATATAGAGATATATTCATGATTACTTTTAAATAAATAATARGGTTACATGTACATTGGTGTGCAGATTGGGAGGGTTGTAACTTATCATTTTTCTTTCTTTCTCTTTTCTCTGTTAGTATTAGTTTTTTCATTAGTGGGTTGGATGGGTGGGTATATGCACATAGATATACATATAGATATATTTCATTAAGGGGTAATACATAGGTTAGATATAAATTAGTGGATGGATTATTTTAGTTTATTTTATASATACTGAGATTTTCTTATCAAATTTCCCTGTGTGAAAAACAAGTTCGCGACTTTTTTTAGCCAATCAGAAAAGCGAAACGATTTGTCACACGTGAAAAAAACGTTTCGTCCAATCGCAAACCACTGTCGAGGCGGATTGTGTTTTCGCGGTCATCGCGGCTAGCTTTGTCGAGCAGCTTTCAAATACTTTCAGTGTATTCAAGTTGTTCGTAGTTCAAATTAAACTTATCTAATCAAGAGCTAGGAGATACTTGTGAGGATGGCTGAACAATCAAGAAGATTTGTGTCTCTAGACAAACCTATAGACAAGTTTATCGAAGAAAAAAACAAAAACAAAAAACAAAACAAAAAAAAAACAACAAAAAAACAGAAACACTGTCAAAACACGATGAGATGTAAGTTTGCTGACTGAGTTTCTCAACTCCAAAAATGAAACGAGAAGATTCGAGAAAATCCCGCCAGAAGAGCTTAATGGGTATATCAGTGAATTGCAGTACTATCTCAAACRAACAACAGAAAAACTTGTCTTTGATTCTGAGTGGAAATACTACAAGTACGTCTATGGAAAAAAGGCCAGTGTCGAGTTTACAAAGTGCAGTGGGCACCGAGTGCCGTGAATCTTCATTCATGAAAAGTTCTAGTTTCCCTGCAGCAGGTCCATTCAGTGGAGCAGTTTTTCAATGAGGACAGTTTGACATGACAATAAAAACTGAAAACAAGTCGCCGACTTTCACCGATAACTCATTCAAATCAACAGATCGAGTCAACACATTGCTTCATRACGCATCAAGCGTGTGTTTGAATCGTCGAGACGAAGACAGCCCTCCGCTTTGACAAACTAAGTTTATAAGACTTCATTGACCACTGATTTTGGTTGCTTATTTCGTTATTTTCTAAAGAACAGTTTCGTATTTAGTTTAGAATATAAACGCTTTGCTATTTACTTTGTACCAGATATATGTTTTTTGATTTGAATAGTGATATTTTTACATGTAGCAAGCTTTTAGCTTTTCGAAGAGAATTCTAAAATACCGCAGTTTTGTATTTTTTTTAGAGAACCCATTAAAGGTGAATAAACATAAAAACAACAAAATCTCAGTATGTATAAAATAAATAAATGACAGCATGGAAAGCGCTTTGTTCCGGATTTTTCCACTCGTTGATTTTGTATCTGAAATCTCACTCGTTCGCTATGCTCACTCGTTCGATTCGATATCTTTCTTTTCTCGGTTGTTAACCCACGGACAGCTCATTTCCACCATGAATACTTTCTTGTTATTGTGGTCGATGAAACGCGCRTCCACACGATTAGATCGTACATACATTTGGTCAGCATACAGTCAATTCAAAAAACGTTGTCGTCGACCAACTCAAGCCTACGCGACTGGACCGAAAGGAACTCTGGGTAGCATTGTAGCTGATCATGAGTTGACTCCATAATAGACCTATCCCAAATTCGCYYGATTAGTTATGCCTGGTTTACAGCACGAACCTTCGTAGGMGAGCGGGAGGTGTTGAAGGAGACGGTTTTTTTAATGCCTTTATATTTTCGAAATTGTGAACTGAATCCTGACTACTTTATTTTTCTTTCCCTAAACCCAAAGACATGCATTTGATGGATTGTTTCTCGCCATTATTATTTTATTACTAGCGGGAACAATTAATTCACAACGAATATTTAATTTTTATATTTAATTTTTAACGAATATTCGCTTCAGTAATTTTTACCCATATGCCATTCGGTCCAGTCGCGTAGGCTTGAGCCGGTCGACGACAACGTTTTTTGAA